CCCCCCCCAACCCATCCCTTTTCTCCTTCTCTGGGCTCTTGACCCTTTCTTCTGCTACTCCTGGCCCCTTCTTACTGCTGTCTGTCAGCCACATCCCTGATCTTAGGGTAGGTAAAACCGAACACCTAGCCTTCTCGGATAAGAGCTAAACAATCTCGCAGGGTCCCCCGTGTGCAAGTCGGGCGCATTAAAAATCCCTTGGTGTTCTTAAAGATCAGTAAGAATAGGCTTCAGCGACCTCCGGGCAAAAGTCGAAATTAATTCCTTCCAAACTGAAAGTCCTTACGCGCGCTCTTATAACCTTATTGCAGCTGCGAGCGCCATAAAACTCTTACCAAAATAATACAAAGAGAAAGAAAAGAGAACCCAAACAAAGAGTGCCGGTTCCGTCTACTTTTCTGCTCGACGTTAGCAATCCAAATTCAATCCTTCCCCAAGCCGGTCAGTGAACTCTCAGTCAGGACAAACATGACGGGGCCAATATTTAGTGCTCTTCTTAGGCTTACCATTTTCAAATCGAACACATACCGGAGTGAACTTTTCTGTTCCTACAAACAAGCTGGCTGACAACTGCCCATAAGTTTAACTAGCGTAGGTCCTTCATTTTTACACCCGTGAAAGGAATGTCAAGGCTGATTTATTATTTAGGTTAGGGTTTCAGTCATTGTTATTAGTTTGTTCGTTCGTTCATTCGTTCGTTCGTTCGTTCGTTCGTTCGTTCGTTCATTCGTTCGTTCGCTCGTTCGCTCGCTCGTTCGTTCGTTCGTTCGTTCGTTGGTTAGTTAGTTTTGGGTTGTAGGGTTGGTTTGTTTGTTGTTGTTTTTTTGTTTTGTTTGGGGGGAGGGGGAGGGGTTATTGTCATGTTTTGACAACTGATGAGTAATGAGCCTTGAACCAGATGAAAACATTCCATGGTCAGACAGTACACAACAGTTTGAGAGGCTTTCAATCCCCCCCCCCCTTTTACCCCGCCCCTGACCTCACCGCGCTCTCCTTATTGAATGTTTGCCTAAAAGGCTTGATTGATAGGGTCCCGTCGTTTGTCCCTTGTCGTACCTGCACCTGTGAATTTTGGTGCAAGTCGGGAGGGCATACTTGGGGATAAGTATAGTATAGGGACTAGTTTTCTAATTGACGTGATTTTGAGAGTTAACCTTAATTGGTTTAGAATCTAGGCTTTCTACGTGTTAGTTTTCTGCTGACTCTTTTGTTCACTTGCGTTTGTTTCGTGTTATTTGCTTTCTTTTTCTTTTTGTTATTTATTGTTGTTCGTTCGTTTTGTCGTATACATGACTGTCTTTTTTTTTGGGGGGGGGGGGGGGGTAAGCGCGCGCGTGTGTATGTTTGTGTGTGTGTGTGTGTGTGTGTGTGTGAGAGAGAGAGCGAGAGAGGGGGGGGGGGTTGTATACGTGCCTCTTTGTCCAGAGAACGCAAGTAGACGAGGAAGAGAAAGAAAAAGAAGACACGAAGAAGAAGAAGGAGAAGGAGGAGAAGAAGGAGAAGAAGAAGAAGAAGAAGAAGAAGAAGAAGAAGAAGAAGAAGAAGAAGAAGAAGAAGAAGAAGAAGAAGAAGAAGAAGAACTCTTTTCAAAGTAATGCTTTGAGCGGTCACGCTACATAAAAATAATAATAATAATAATAATCAAGAAACGAAGGGGACACCGTACACTGAACAAGCTATCCCTTGTTGTTACTGAGAAGAAAAGTCCCCGATACAACTTCTGTAATTATTACCGTAGTAATATTCATGAATAGACAGCGGCCCGCTTCCCAGTTTTATGTGGGTTTTAAAATTGGCTCCAGTGGGGCTAGCAGCTTGTCGGTCGAGTTGGTTTGCCTCTTTTACTTTCGTAAGGGTTTCCCTTTAACTAATCCTTAAATGACCACATTAATGCTTTAGGCATGCGATTTATAATCCTAGCTTTGTGTCACACGATAAGGCTTTCAACACAGGCGAATGAGTTATATATAAAAAATAATAATTTAAAAAACAACAACGCCACCCCAAACAAAACATTGTTTGAACTTTGTTTAGCACTGTTCTGAAATAGTACCCCATTCATATTGTATAGTTATTATAGCGATGTTTTGCCCACAACGCATTGTGTTGTACATGTATGAAGTGGAGAGCTGGGGCTCTACGCTTAGAGTAATTCTAGACCATAACATTATCATAATTATCAATTTTCTAGCTCAAATGAGTAATAGATGGATCTAATGAGCAGATGGATTTTAGTTTATTTACTAGAGTATAAAATTATAGACGACCTGCCTGGAATGAGAACGTTTGTGTGGGCGGAATGTCGCCGGCGACCTTACCTTGTGGTCACGGACAGTCGGTAAGTCCGAGCTGCCACCTGTTTCAAACTGTAATTTATGCATAATGTCGTAAATTCACGATATTTTATGTTCACTAGGTGGATGTTGAGTACATTATTTCTGCTACCAACAATTCCTAACTGCGAATTTGTTATGAATGTGACCCTGGTTTTAGGCTTTCTCCCTCCCTCCACTAGAACAGTACACATTCTTTCTCTGATCCACTCCATATTCTACTAGATGGAGTCTCAAACTCTTTATACTGACTCTTGTTGCACGTATACGCTGTCTGTCTGTCTACTCGTACTTGTACACCTGCCTGTCTGTCTGTCTGTCTGTCTGTCTGTCTGTCTGTCTGTCTGTCTGTCTGTCTGCCTGTCTGTCCCTCTCTATCTCTCTGATGCTTCAAAGGCAGAAGACGGGAAACTACAACTCTTATTATGTTCGTATACTCATGGTTAAAAAAAAGTTAAATCCATCATTGAGTTTCCAAACTGCCTCATCTTATTCCTCGGGCATTTTTGTGAAACGAGGAATACAAGGCCTAATTAAATCTGTACTATAATTTGATTTCGACATCTATCGCAATCTGTTAACCCCCCCCCCCCTTGCCAAAAGAAAAGAAAGAAAGAAAGAAAAATACCCACTACAATTGCTGCTGTTCAAAGAGACCACAACATGCCAGAATAACATTACTGTCAGTTGTAATTTCATGATTTCAAAATTTCTATCGTTCTAAAATGTAGCGGTGATAGAGATATCGGTGAGTTGAGACTTTATCGTAGACTGCCGACATGTCTGTTTGCATAAAGCTTCACAGTCAAAATGTTATGCGAGATTTCGCAATATTATTTGCTTTCCGCATTCAATAAACAGGAATCTGTTCACTAAATTGCCTCAAAGTAAACTTCTTCACTCACTGTTCGGAAAGAAACTTAAGTCGAATAAAATATTGTGGAACTTTCGATTTGGTTGCCCATTATGGGCATACATTTCCGTTAGTTGCTTGGACCCTGAAGGTAGACAGCTTCAGAAATGTCGAGTGACGTCCCGTCAGGCAGAGGCAGCAGCTTCGCAAGGGTTTGTGTATGTGAGCCAGGCCGCACGAAAAGTGTATTTGCACAGGTGCTTTATTTGCTTTTTTAAAATATTCGAATGAAAGAAATGTTATTTTTACAAAGCGTTTCAACACAATTGAGTGCGTTTATTACAGAATCCGGACGAATGAAGCATTGACGGCTTTTGAAAGAACTGTCTGTGGCAAAATTGCGCCAAACTTTCCCTTGCTATTCATGTATTGTGTGTACCAATTCTGTGCCAACACATTTGCCTTTTGAAAGTGCACTGCAGACTATGTTTTGTACTTGGCAACCTGTGGAAGCCAAATTTAGGGCATAGGTTCCCAAACAGGGCGCTTGCGTATTTTGCCGACATGGCTGTGTACTTTTAAATCTTGTTTATTTTGTTTGTGTTATCTTATAAATCCAAGGCACGCAGGTGGTTTAGTTATGCCATGCACATATCATGTTATGGCTACTTTTTTCTGATACTTTTCTGATTTTCTTTTAGAATAACACATTCGGTATCAGACTGATTTTTTTCTACTCCGAACTAAACCGATGAAGTCTAAATTGTAACTCCTAGAAGGGTAAATTTGTCAAAGAGTGTAGATTTTAACATGCGTCACGTCTGTTGACACGCCAGCACATGCCTTACTAACATTGCTGTCTTAAAAGGAGAGATTTGAGAGGGG